TCATGAATAATTATCATATTAAGCCAGGTGACATCGTTTGTCAATGTGTTGAGAGAAGTTTATTGATGGTAAATACCTTGAGAAGGTTCTTTCTTGAAACGAAGTCATGTGTAATATTTTACTCTTAGGTCATTGGTGTCTTGTCAATTTCTATGGTTGGTAGTGCGTATTGTCCATTATCGTTACGAGATCCTCCACAACGTCTACAAGCTCTTGTCAATCAGACTCAGAGTCATTTAGTCTTGGTTCATGCAAGTGCACCAGCTGCTTTCGACCCCGACAATCTAACTGTAAATATTGACTGTATTATTCGTCTCGAAGAAAGATTTAGTGAAATTAATCTGAACGAACTTTCAAATGTTCCTGTAACACCAGAAAGTGTTGTGTTTGTTATTTTTACAAGTGGTTCAACTGGTATTCCAAAAGCGGTTTATATAATGAATGTTTCTTTTAATGTATTATCTAACGCTTTTCTCTTAAAATAGGTTCAACTGCGTCATCGAAATTTCACTGAGTTTATGCATTCATTTGTGAATATTGATGTAGTAACAAAGTTTGACACAATAATACAGATGGCCCGGTGCTCTTTTGACAATCATCTGCTAAGCTTAGTTGGTACACTGGTTATTGGTAGCACACTAGTAATGCTTCGACCGGAAGGCAATATGGATTTAGAATATCTTGCTGGAGTCCTCGATCAAAAGCAGATTACTGTCATGCATGCTGTTCCATCGCTTCTGAACAGTTTATTTGAATTTCTCAGAATTAATAAGCGTACATCAGCAGTTAAATATTTACGATCCTTATGCAGTGGTGGTTAGTACTTGTTTTTTGAATAACTAAAATATCAACAATATCTTTGAATTAATTATTTATAGGCGAGGCAGTTAATGTTAAGCAAGTTAATCTATTTCAAAATTTAGTTGGAAAGCAATGTCGAATTCGAAATCATTATGGTCCAGCCGAAATCACGATCAATTGTGCTTGTTATTTAATTGACCTGAGCAAAAGCCAAACAAGCATTTCTATAGGTCAACTTTTACCCAATTACCGGTGTCTGATTTTAGACGAATTTTCTCAGTGTGTCTGTATTGGGCATGAAGGAGAATTGCTAGTGAGTGGTGTAGGTATGTTTGCTGGATACTTTGATCGTGATGATTTGACTGCCAAGGCAATGATCAATATCAACGGGCAAATGTACTATAAAACAGGTGATCTTATTACAATCGATAATAATGGTCTTCTGCATTATCAAGGAAGAAAAGATCATCAGATCAAACTACATGGACAACGAATTGAACTTGGTGAAATCGAACGATG